GAGAGGCTTTTCTGGAGCAACTGAGGGCAACTGTGGCTTGAACACCATTGTTCATGCATGACAACTGCATCTTCAATATAAAGTCCACTATTAGATCACCGTGATTAAATTTTATTATACACCGAACTCTCCTATTTTTCCAATATAAAAGCCTTCCCTTCCACTCTCTGCTGCTCTCACATGGCAGTTTGCTGCCATATTTGCACTGAGGACACTCATGAGTCGAGTCAGACTGGCAACAGTCAGTGCATTGCAAGAGAAGCCTCATAATGGTCAGGGAGAGCAAACAGATCGGTTCTGAGTGCTCTGAGTGCTCCAAGCCGGCTGCAGACACAACTGCAGGAGAACATGACTGCACATTTACACAGCACATTCTACTCACTCGATGGCAGGATTAGGAGGACAATTGCTCCTCAAAACTCAACTCTGAACACTGCTGGTATCTGAAAGCAGGCAGTGGAGGAGCCAGTTGGCTTAGCCCTGCCTGTCACACAGACTGTACACTTGACATGTAGCTAGAATGTCTTGATTTATGGAAGACTGATTAGCTTTAAAGCACAAATTCAGCACTTTGTTAAAAAAAAGACATCCTGAAACAAGCAGTTACATACAAGCATTTTTTTCATTACTGATCACCAGTGAGAAGTCTGAAAATAGTTTTGCTCCTTGAAAAGCACTTTATTTCATGTAAATCGGAAAAAAAATACATCAGGAGGAAAAAGAGTTAATGTGGCTTTGTTTTGCTGCTACCAACATCACACCCCAAGCTAAAACTGAGCTATGGAAACAATCAGGAAGAGGTTGCTTCATATACTGCCATAAATCTGTTATGATACTACATGGATTAAAATATGAAGAGCAAATTCAAAGTAAGTATTACTTCTTCAGAAAAATAAACCTACTGACCCAAAGGTAAACTACTACTCTTAAAATAAAAAAAAAACTAAAAAAAAGCCAAACCAACACAGATGTCCTCCCATCTTCAGGGTCAGTAACGAAGGGGCAGTGACAACTTGGTGAAGAGTCAGAGAGTCCCCAAAGTGCTTTCCAGGAGGGTTACTAATTTGCCAGGTGATGGACAGGACACTGATCATCCAACAGGCCAGCAGGAGATGGGTGATGTTTTTGAGAATGCAGAAGCACACCATGGTGCACAACTTGGGGATCTGATTATACTTTGTCACAATAATTCAGCTGCAGTGTGACAAAAGACAGACTCACCATCAGGAGTGTTCTACAGGCTGCTTACTAATGAGCTTGGTAGAAAATATAGCATGGCCTATAAATGTAAGATTAACACAGAGAGTTCTGAGATTCACTTACGCTGCAAATTAAGTACAAACATGTAGTTTAGCCAAACAGTAACTTTCCTACTTATGCTGCAGCTTCACTGCTTAAAAACAAAAAGTAATTTAGTCAGGTTATGTTTCTGGACTGCCACAGAGTAAATACCTGTACTTATCAGTGGTGAAGGAACCCCACAAAAACTCCTCGTGTCTCCACTCATGGCACTAAAGCCAAATGCATTATGTTTTTGCTACCCTGCTGCAGAAGAAACAGTGTCTTTGTTGCCTGCAGCTGTAGGCCTCAAATTCAGGAATGATGTTATAAGCACAAGTCCTCACTACAATGTTGTTTCCTGTAATGTTTACATTACATTACATTGGAAAACAAACAGTTAAAACCCAACATAACAAAGAAAATTAACAAATGAATTTGTGCATGATTCCTGATTGGGAATGCCAGTTCTGATTATTCATTTACTGGGAAGATGCAGGTTGTTTCCCTAATGGTCACTCTGGCCTGCTGAACTTTTGCAAGACATCAAAAGGCTCCATTTTCACAAGCTCTTACTCAACAGGTCAGCCCTCCTACTGAAGTAGATCTGCTATATTAATAAAGTAGTAATGTCACACTGTGGGTGACCTACAATTTTTCTACTAACAGATAAGACATGTTTAGGAACCTATGGAACCATCTGGAGAATGAAGACTTAAAAGCTGTTAATTCAAGTTTACTACTCATAGTTTTTGCAGAAAGACCCTAGGAATGGGGAAAAAAAATTGATTACCTATATTTCTAACACAATAGAATACACTAAACAATAAAAACTAAAAATACTTTTCAATTTAAGACCAAAACCAGTGTATATGCAGAACTGAGCCATTCACAATCAACTGCATTTTACAAATATAGAAACTATCACCAGTTAAAAACATATACTTCTGAAAACCTGAAAAAGTATTAATTACAGAATTTACTCAGCAAAACGGTTCTTAAACTTAGTTTAAGCATAATATTGATATCAGCCACAAAAACTGAAATACCAATATGTTCATAAATACATTTGATTCCTATCAATATTTATTAAATAGGCTACCAAACAATAGAAAGCTATACAGCCATTTTTCAAGTACTGCTTTCATGTCCATTATGAACATTTTTACATATGTATGTGAAATAAAATATTCAAAAACTTTTAGTTTAATGAAAAACTCAATCGCAGAAATAAAGAAAAAAAAAAGGAAAAAAACAGTGCTGTACAATTAGAACTCTAGCCTTGGGAATGGGAGAGAAGAGAAAGAGCTGGAAAGAATAGACTATACAAGAGATAAACGGAAGTAATCACAGCAATGCTTACTGGCTTTTAAAGTCTTACAAAAGTACACCCACAGTGGCAGCTCCCCTAAGAAAATCCTGTAAAATTAATTGAAGTGTTCAGAATTCCTCTTCTTTCTCATTATCGTAGATGTAATTCAGATTTATCAGGTGGCAACTACTAAACTCCTCTTTCTGACAGCCTTTAAAGCACCAGGAAGCTCAATATTCATAATACACACAATACATGAGCTGTGAAAGTTACCCTGTTTGAGCAAAGTTTTGCATTACAGTGTTAGAAGCTCTGCATCAATATTATTTCTGCTGAACAAGGCAAGAAATAAAAAAAAAATAAAATAAAAACCCAACTCAACAGCCTTTTGGGGGAGAAAAAAAAGTATTTCAAATAAAAATTATTACTGGATTGCTACACGTAATAAAAACACTCCCAAAACAAACTGCACGCTCTCTAAAAACGTTCTTAAGTTGCACGCCAGACTCACAGAATAAATTTAGGCCAGCACCAAGCACTCATTTCTTCCCCGTGTGTAAATGCGACACAATCAGGCCTCACACGCAGGCCTCTCTCTCCCCAACACAGGCAGGACCTTTGTTCCATACGTCGATGTTTTTCCCTCCGAGCCCTTGACACAACTTTCCATTCTTTGCCCCTCTTGTTTCCCGGCCGCCCGTCCAGGCTCGGGGCCGGCCGAGCCGTGCGGAGCCCCGGCCGCCGGAGAGCCCGGGGAGCGCTCGGGAAGGGGAAGGGGGAACAATAAAAAAGTTGGACACAGGAAGACGGGCCTGCAGGGCTGTCGAGAGCCCCGGCCTCGGATCCTCTGCCAGCCCCCGATCCCGGGGGCACCGCCGGGAATCCCCCCCCCCTCCGTGTGCCACCGGCACCCCAAAAGCTGACCCCCTGCCCAGCCCCCCGGGAAAGGGGAAGGAGGAAGAGCCAGGCAGGAAAGGCAGAACCCAGCGTTTGATCAGCCTCCAAGTACGACGCATTATGCAAGCAAACGCCGAGGAGCAGGCAACTTGCTTCTCGACCGAAAACAAGAAAAACATCGGCTAGGACATTGGGCTGCGAAAATAAACCCCCCTCGTGGGCAGCCAGCCCTGGGGTCCGACCCCACAGGCGCCTCTGCTCTCTGCCCACCTTCTTCCTCCCCCCCCAAAAAAAAACCTTGGGAAATATGGACGTCGGCCGATTATTTGACATTTTTATCGAGCCGGGCAGGGAGGAAAGAAAGAGGAATTGCTGTGTTTTTTCCTTTAAGATATTCGATAGCTCCTTTAGGGGAAAAAATAAAAAGGGGGACGAGTGGAAGAAAGAAAGGGCCATTGGGGGAAAGGGGGCCCAGCGGAGTGGGGGAAGGAAGACGGGGAAGGGCATCGAAATCGGCACGGCAGTGTCAACACTGACACTGCCCTTTTGTATCGGCAGCCCCGCAGGGCCCGCGGAGGGGCGGCCCGGCAGAGCCGAGGGGCGAGGGCTGTCCCCGCAGCGGGCCCGGGCACTGCCTGGCCATTTTGTCAGCTGCGTTTCCACCCCTTTCCTCGGCGGCGAGGGCCCCACTGCCCCCCTCCGGGCCACCCCACACACACTCACCAGCGCGGCGCCGTGTCGGTCCCCGCTCCCCCTCGCCCCCCCTCCTCTGCAACAATGCTCCGGGATGGCGCCGCTCCCCTCCCCCTGCCCCGGGCCGCCAGGAAGGGCAGCTCGACTAATGCCGGCGATGACACAACAGGCCCTGCTCGGAGGCTGTCCAGGGGCCCAGCGAGCGCCCCGCCGCCCCGCGCCCGCCCCCGCGGCGCCCCCCGAGCGAGCGGCGGGGCCGCGGGTACCTAGTTTGTCCCGGTGCGGCCTCCGCAGACGCTCCGTGCCTCGCTCCTCCCGGCAGCAGCCGCCTCGCTTCCCTTCAATTATCAGCTGAAGCCGCAGCACCGAGCGGCGCCTCGTCCGCCGCCTCCGCCGCCGAACCCCTTCCAGCGGCGCGAGGGGGAGGCCCCGGGACTACTTTCTCCCGGCGCCGGGGCCCCGCCGGGGCCCGCGCGCCTCCCGGGCCGGCGGGCGGCCCCTGCCCCGGCTGCCGCCCCCCGCGCAGCCCCCGCCGCGGCCCGGCCCCGGCCCCGGGCCCGCTCGGTGCGCTCGGCGGGGCCGCTGCGGGCGGCCGGTATCCCTCCGCCGGGGTCGTCACCCCGGGTCCGCGAGAATGTCCGCCCTCGGGGCGGGCGGGGCGCGGCGGGGCCGCGGGTCTGCGCTGGCACCGGCGGCGGGCTCGGACCCTGCCCGGCACGGCGGCGCCGCCGGGGCTGCTCCTTTAAGAGAGGGCCGGGCCCGCCGTGACCCCGCGCGATGTCCGCCCCTTCCTGGTTGCCATGGGGACCGCCCGCCGGCGTCCAAAATGGCGGCGGAGCCGCGCGGGGCTCCCGCTCCTTCCCCCGCCCGGCACAGCAGGAAGGTGGCGGGGCCTGTCCCCGGCCACTGAGGCAGCAGCGCTTTAGCCAGAGCTCGTCCTGCAGCAAGAAGCTCCTCCGTGCCGGGGCAGGACGGGGGGCGCGTGTTAACACCGGGAAGCGAGCGGGGAGGCGCCTCAGTAAGGGCTGCTGGCCGGGCCTCCTGAGGGCTGGGAACGCCGGGCCCCGAGCCGGGGATGCCGTGTGGGTGAGTAGCGGGGCGGCAGGAAAGGACTGGGAACAAAAAGGGTTATTTCCAAACCTTGGTGAAAGTATGTCTAGACGAGGAGCCTCTGTCTGTGGGAGATTCCTTCTGCCTGGGAAGGGGCTCTGGGTGAGGACCAGAGGAAAGGGGGAAATAAAAATCCTTCAAAATGGTCAGCAAATAGCAAGGAGTATCTTGTGAAGAAGTATCTTCCGTGATTTTGTAGCCTTAAAACAGACCTAAGTCCACGCTCAGAAACGCCTCCCAAATAAATAAGGTCCTAACATTTCAAGTGAATAAGTAACAAATCCTTAAGTAATGTCACAATATTCCTCCTAAGATAAGTCTGGCTGCACTCTCAGAATAACTAGACTTAAGGTGGGGGGTAAACAATAGTCTAATCTGTCATTCCAAGAATATGAAATTAAATTGCACATCTGTGAATGGGAAGGCTATATATATTTTCCATGTTGTACCTGAAGATGTTTGTGTGTCCTGCCTAATGCCTGTGTATGTAACTGGTTTTCCAAACAGGGAGAAAAGCAATGCTAAATATCCTGGAAGAGTTTTTGAACTTTTTTTTTTTTTTTAATATTCTACAGAATGTGTTTTATGAATATTTTTCAGAATAATTTAATAGGAATCATCAATGAGGAATGTCAAACAGTAAACAAAAGGGATTTAACAAATCTCATTATGAGTTTATAAGGTTATGAAATAAAACTGCAAATATTCCATACTTTTTGTTTCATTTTTTACTTAGTTGACTTTATAAGCATGAGAGATGAACACAAATGCTTGTCTCTGGCTGGACATACTGATTTAAAAGCTGTAAAATTTCAAAAATTTTCCTGAGAAAGTTTTTTAAATGTCTTACCAGAAAAAAAAAAATAAACAAACACCAACGTTTTTTGAAACTAGGAGGAAGTTTTTTGTTTTCGTAATTTAAACCAAAATAATAAACATATGTTTATTTCAGGGAAGAATTGCTGCACAATAACTGGGAAAAATATGCTTTTAAATAGCTGAAGTCTTGCAATGGGCCTGTCCAGTTGACCCCATGGGAATCCTCTCCGTGCCCTGCTTGTTCATGGGATATGTAATTGAGTGCTGGGGGGTATTTACCAGTCATTTTCACGCTCAGCTAATAAAAATAAGATGTTCCTTATTATTATTATTATTGCAGTCTTCAGTGTTTTGGTTCTCGTATCTGTTTCCTGTCAAACACTTCAGATATCTATTCTTGGGTTTTGAGCTGCCCAAATATATCCTGAAAGCAAAGCAGGCAGTTAACATAACTGTCAGTGTAAGGAAGTTAAAACTGTTCTGCAAGTGTTTGTTGCACAAAGCATTACCAGGAAGCTGGTGCCATTGAAAAATAACTGGTTTGGATTATTTGAAAAGCTCAGCTTTCTTTAAAAACACAGAAAGGAGTTTGTGGCTGCATACTGGATTTGAAGGAAGGGTTCCATGTTTCTTGAATGGTCTACTTGGGCTTTACGTGAGCAGGAAATTCGGATCCTTCAGATGAAGTTATCAATTTACTGGGCGTGTGTTACACAGCTCCAGAGTGTTTGTACCTGTGGTCATTGCCAGGATTTCCAGGTATCAACTGACCATCAAGTCAAGCTGCCACAGAACCAGAAATCCTCTACAAATACAGAATATCTTAAGAATGCCTAAGGGCAAGACATTTAGTTGGGCAGAGAGGCCATATCAGAGGGGCAAAAACTAGTCCATGGCAGCAGACTTTGTGTTCAGATGAGTCATGTGAAGTGTCTGTGGCTTTTGGTTAGCTTTTTCCCACATTCAAGGGAATTCTATCAGTTCTCTCATGCAACCTGCTGGGTTGAGGATGTTCTCCAGAAGGCATTTTGGAAGTCTGTTGTGCCTGCCTCAAGTCACTATAGTAGGCCCAACCTGCTGTATAACTAAAAATAGATTAACAGGAAGTACCGTAAATGAACATAAACCCTACTCTGAGAGTAAAGTATAGGCTAATAAGTTTTCTGAAGCTAAGTATAGGACAATAGCCAAATAAGGAGGACAAGGCAGACAACCAGAGAACCTAGGATGTGACACCACAGGAGAAGGGGAGAGCCCTGTAACTCACTGCAAATAACCCTTCCAAAAGGAGACCGTATAGGTACAGATGCTAAATGAGCATTGGTGGAATACAGCTCAACCAGCTGGATTGTGCAAAAGGAGAGATCTTAGGAGCCATCAGTGAAAATAACTTTGTTCAAGTAGCTGTTTCAAGTCAGCAATTGTAATCTTACAAATGCAGAGAAACTATTGCGCATATTTCCCCTGTGTGGGCATCTGCCAGTTCCACTGCAGAAATATAAGACTCAAAGAGATGACTCCGGGTCATCAAGTCCCAGTGCCTGCTGTTTCATTCAGCCACATAATAGATCTTCATAGCATAAATGGGATTTGATGTGTTTCAAAGGTAGTGAGGCTTTTTCACACTGCTCCAGACTATCACTTCTCTGATGGTTAGAAAGGCAGTTATGCAGACTAATTTACAGCTTCTTGTGTTTGGATATCTTGTGTGTAGGTAGCAATGCTGTATTTGTGTGTGTATAATAGTGTGGTCCTTCAGGGCTCCATCTTGGGCCCAGTGCCCTTCAGCATCTTCAGAAATGACTTGGACAAAGGACTGGAGGGGATACTGAGCAAGTGTGAAGATGCCACAAAACTGGGATGAGCTGTTGACTCCTTCGATGGCACTGCAGAGACCTCGACAAATGAGAGGGCTGGGCAATCACCAACCATAGGAAGTTCAACAACAGAAAGTGCTGGATTCTGCACCTGGGATGGGGCAACCCTGGATATACAGACAGACTGGGGAATGAGAGGATGGAAAGCAGTGCCAGGAAAGGGAGCTGGGGGTCCTACTAGAGGAGACTGAGGGGAGACCTCACTGCAGTCACAACTTCCTTGTGAAGGGAAGAGGAGGGGCAGGCACTGAGCTCTTCTCTCTGGTGACCAGTGACAGGACCCGAGGGAATGGCCTGGAGTTGTGTCAGGGGAGATTTAGGGTGGTTATTAGAAAGAGGTTCTTCCCCCAGAGGGTGGTTGGCACTGAACAGGCTCCCCAGGGCAGTGGGCACAGCACCAAGGCTGCCAGAGCTCAAAAGGTGTTTGGATGATACTTTCAGGCAGATGTTGTGACTCTTGGGATGGTCCTGTACAGGACCAGGAGTTGGACTCGATGATCCTTGTGGATCCCTTCCAACTGAGTACATTCTGTGATTCTGTAAATGTACAGTATTGTATATATTCAATAAATATGCCCTCTTGATAGGTTTGGTTTGTTTTTTCCGTTTCCACTTGTGAAGCAGACTCTGCTTCCTGGTCACTCCCAGGATCTTTTTCACTGCATTTCTTCCCATTAGAAGTTCCAATTAGAACAAGTGCTGTGTGCAAAAGCATTGTTACTTCCCCATGTCTTCTGGAAAATCCTGTGTGATTTAAATTTTAGGATTGTATTTCACTTTCTCTACCAAAATCACATTAATGACTCACGATCATCCTTTGATTAGTTATTATTCCAATGTCTTCCTCCTCTGTCAACTTTCAGTTTATAACCTTCTGGTTTGTGGCAGAAATTATTTCCACATTAATGACTTTGCCATTTGTACTTTTCAATTTTTATTTTTGTTTGTTTGTTTTCTTTTTCCCCCTCCAGGACTGCTCTGAGTTGTTGTGAAGGAGAAGCTGGTGTACATGTCAGGATAAACATACTAAATAGAAAAACATGCTGGGCCATAACATGTGTACTCGGAATCCTGTTGGAATTCTTGGGAACAGTGAATAGTTTTTGTTTTCTGTGAGTGCATGTAATTTTACATAGAATGGGATTTTTGTTTTCTCATGATTGACATGAGGGATGGCAATTTGTGTCACGTATGCCTTTCCATTATCTTTTACTGTATGTGTTCTTCACTCTTGAAATGCCAAATTAATATTTGATATGCCAGTTATAATTTGGCAGGGTTTATCACAAACAACAATAGATGTTATCTCTTTGTATAAATCATATGGCCTCCAACATCAAATGTAAGGTGGCTTAAGAGAGCCACACAAATAACCCTGCAAAATAGAATTTCTTATAAATTTTCTAATGGATGATATGTACAGGTTTTGAAAAGTGCAGTGAGAGGAATCCAGATGGTGGGGTAGAGTAGAAAAGATGGGTCACTCATTTTGGTCAAACAAGGACTATAGACACACATCCCCCACCTCCCCCCAAAAAAGTCTGGTGCTTAATCTGCTTATAGGGCAGGCTGATAACTAGAATGATGAGGCTGATAACAAAAGAAACGTAATGGGAAAATGATCCACTCAACATGTAATTAATACCAGCATCTGTCACCATTTAATGAATGCTGCACTAATCAGAGGATTTTGTCATGTTAGTAGAATGTGGAGCCACTTCCCTGTCAGAGGCAGGAGTCACATCCACCGTCACTGCGTGCAGTGTTCCACACAGGATCTGCCTGGACAACACTCAGGGTGGCTCAGCTTCGTCAAATGTGCAACTGCACAGTTGTGTCTTTGGGGAGAGCTCAGCAACTGCATTCTCTAGCAAACATATACAGGACATGCAGATAGCAAACAGTGCAAGTAACCAGGCAAACAGTTCTGATGGATGTTCTTGTTCTTTACCCCTCACTGCTCCCATTGTTTGGTGTTCGCCTCTACATCTTCAATCAGTTTCTGATTAAATCAATACATTCTGAACACAGCATGTTACTTTGGATACTGAGAACTAGAGTATTTTCTTCAAAGACCCTTATAATTAATTGTTTTAATTGAAAAAATAAAGTCGTTTTTCTGGCTTTTTAGTTTTAAGTAAAAATTCTGAACCTACAGCACTTAAATCTTTAAGAACATTTTTTAAAAAATTCTTTCTCAGTAAACAACTCAATTCTATGTCTGATCCCTATAAATACTAAATTTAAAAAAAAAACCACACAGCAATAAAACCCAAACAAAAACTAACCAAACAAACAAACAAAAAAACCCCTCACACATGTTATCATTTTCAATAAAATTTCAATTTTAGGAGACATATTAATAAGTGATCACTGTAATGATCGTGGACTGGTTGATTTTCAGTTATGAGGACCTTTCAGGTTTTATTAAACCTGCAAGGGTAGCTCCTCCATTTGGTTAAAAAAAATTATATTATAAAGTTACCTATTGAATGCTGGCCTTGTTTTTAAGTCTTAATGATGACATTTGACATGTAACCTATTTGATTGACAGGAGATGCCATTTGAAGTGCTTAAGCCAGATGGATTGGAGGGGGGGAATTAACAGATGTTATAATAGTAATTGAGCTGAAATTAATTTCACATTATGCAAAACAATTTTTTTGAAAGATGTCCTCTTTTAAGTAAAGATCTGTGGGAGATGAACCTTTTTCAGAATTCTACTATTTTATTTGCATTTGAAACCTCAAGGATACCACACCAATTATTGCCTATCTGGACCAATTCTATTTAAGTCTCTTCTTTGACTTTTCAAAGAGAGAATTTGTGTTCTTAACAAACAAAACAGCACAGAGCTTTTTCTAGAGCAAGCTTAAAAAAATTGTATTTTTGTTATGAACTATTTGTATGGAGGACTTTATTGCATGAAACTAGGAACTTCTTGTTGTTGCCTTAAATTAGAAACCTTTCAAGCATAGTTTGATGAGCTCAGAAGGAAACCATTTTGTCCCAGCTCAGGAAATGCTCTGTTGTGCTTAAGAAGTGCATTTCCAAAACAGTCAAACACAGTATCACACAGTATTAAGCAATTATTATCAGCAGAATGTTTGTTAATCCTAAAATACATAGGGAAATCTCCTTTGCCTTTTTGCTGTCTCTAATTCAGACATCCAGGTAAACAGCAGAGCTGCTTGGAAAATGGAGACAGTTTCTCTGGGGAGCTAATGCTGGACTGGAAAAACAGGAATCCTGCTGTCAGGTATTTCTGTGCAGAGCTCCACTATTTGGTTCAGCAGTGCTGTGATGGCGTGTGATGGTTTGGACACCTCACAGCACCTCTCCCTTCTCCCATGATCCCACCTCGGGATGGGTGCAGCTGCTCACTCTTACCCGTAAGGTTCTGGGGAAGATCTGGGAATTCTTCGGTCGTGCTGCAAATTGGAAGATGTGATCCAGCACAAGAACCCAACTGACATAGGAAAATCTGGGCTTTTAACAACTGAAATGTGATTTCTGGTGTGTTGCCCTAGTAGTGCTGGCACTCCAGGGCTGTCCCTACTGGTGCATCGAGATTCCTCTCCAGAAGCATCACACAGCAGTGTAAGTGGTGGGCTTTTTCCTCTCCAGAAGACTCAGTTCTCTCTTTTCTGAGGGGTGGTTGTTTTGGGGTTTTTTCTTCCCCACAAACGTTACTAAATGCTTACCTCATTTGAAATTAGAAATATAACTGATACTGAGTCCTTAATTAGCTATCTTGCTTGTAAGTTCAGTTGTTTGTGAGCCTATGATAATTCTGTACTGTTGTGTGGACCTATAAAATTCTTTCTGAAGAAGTTGAGCTGTCCTTTGAAGATGCATTGAAATATTCTTGTATCAATTTCAATTAAGGTGTGTTAAAGATGATAAAGTAATCTTAGTTAATTCTCTGTGAACATTGTTTGCTGTGGTTTTTAAAAAAATTCTGGTTTTTCTGTATCAGTGGTGGCCTAGAGATGTATTTTTTTCTTCTGTCTCAGCTGGGTTTTGTCTCCTTATAACTAGTCTTTCATACACAGACAGCAGTATCATGCAGAATTGCAATGTTTAAGCTCCCATTTTAAGTTTTATGCATGGTTTTAATGTTTGTGGCTTTCTTCAAAACTACTGTGCTTGATCTGGTCCTTCCTGCCAGTGATGATTTCCAGGTCACGACGGAGCGATAGTTCCTCAAGGTGAGCAATCACAACGACCTTCTGCTTCATTAAATCAACATTTCCTGCTATACCCAAGTGCTGCTCTCATGTTCATTATTGTCAGTGCTTCCTCCAGAGAAAGATTTAGTTATGTTTTTCACCTGCCTTACTTTAGGTAGTACATCCTTACCCATGTTGTTCTCTCTCTTGGGGTTCTTCAGGAATAATTCTACTTTTGGGTTCCAAAGGTAAGTTTGTGTTCTTATCTGTTGTCTTGTTTTCCTTTTTTCCACTTCAAGTTAGGAAAACAGTTATTTCTTCTTTTCTGTTGCCTTTATTAACCCAGAGCAATTTACCTTATTTCATTTTCCATTTACACAGTAGCATTCATGATGAAGAACTTTCAGGTATGTTTACTTGACTAGGCATACCATATATTTATACTTTGTTCATTTACCAAAAGTCATTTAAGTGCACTCAGTAAAGTGTTCAAGGGAAGAAGGCAAAGCTAGAAAAAGATCTCAGTGTGGGCAAGGCTATGAAAGGTTTTATCTGAAGATGCATTAGTGTAATTTAAAAACTGCTTTTTTAAACAAACTTGCTGGTCTAAACTTTATGGATTCTTATTGTAAAGATTTGCTTGATTTTGATTGAGTGTAACTAAATCAATTTGTGTTAAACTGAAATCAGCCTAAATTAAACCAGAGTAAAAGTGCCGGCAGCTTTTGGATGGACTTCACTAAATAAGATTAAAATTGTGCATGGGGTGCAACCAGTGGAAATGTCATTTGTTGGCTGAGACCTAAATTACACAAATTATCTGGAGGAGGGTGGGAACTAGAAGAACAAACACTAGTGCACAGTAAAATGATCAAAATGATTTGTTGAAAAAGGCAAAATAATACTGTAGAAGCAGAAGCCTAAGAGAGTGTCTGAAGCCAGAGTTCTAAATAACATAATGGGATGATAGTGAACAATAGAGTGAAAGGAGGGACAACAGATGGGCATTGCAGGCCAGGGGAGCTGTGTAGCTGGAAAGCAGCAAAAAAGCAAGCAGAGACTTGTGACAGAAAAGGCAATGTATGTTTTTAATATATGTGCACATCAAATTATCATGACAAATGGTAATGAAAGGATTTCAGCATTCACTAAGGTGGTGCTACAGCTGAGTTGTGCAACTGCTCCCTCCTCTGCAGTTTACAACGACACTGAAACCTAAAGGTAACAAATATTAAGTTTCATGTAAAATAAGTGATTAAAAATGGACTGGAAAAAAAATCAACCAACTTTCCAGAGAGCAGGCTACCTGTAGTACTGAGCTGAGCACTGCTTGAGAAAAAGGGCCGTACTTAACACAGCTTTTCCTGCAACCTGGAAATGTGGGCAGGAATCAAGTATATCAGAATGCCTGCACATTGTGAGGGATTCTTTAGTGTTCCTGTCTTCCAATCTGAGCTGGAATTAAAGCTGTAAATAGACAGAAAGGGAACTTGAAAAACACACTGGTAGTGTTAGTCTGTTCTTAAAAAATGTGAGGAGATTTTAGGGGCCACTGCAATAGGTGTTGCTCCCAATTTAGAGTGAGGGGTGTCAAGTGTTGGAAGTGAGATGCCCACATAAGAATATAGGAAAACAGTTTCCAGCAGATACTACATTAGACTGGTTGCAGATGTATACAAATCAGGATGGTAAGAAGTATCCAAGAAAGGAGCAGTGGGATGATTGAACTAAGATTTCACCTGTAATAAAAAGGATTGCCAGTTATATGTACATACCCCGCTAAAAGAGGTGCAGATTCCCTAAAAATTACTTTGCACTGCTGCACTTGAGGACTTTTTGTACACACAGTGGGGAGTCTGACTGTTCAGTTGTTTGGGTTTTTTTACTCTAAGAAAGAGGAAAAAAACACACACCAAAAAAATCCACAAAACACCTAACCAACCAGCCAAACAAAAAAACCACCCAAAAATCAAAGCAGAAGAAACTTAAAGCACAGACTAGACCTGAAATTGTAACAAGACCTTGAAACTGAATTAAGGAGGACAAAACTAAAAGAAATGGTTTTAAGTGAAACCTGTCAGTGTGTTATCCATCTAGAAAGGAATGTTATGCCTTGCACTTGGCTTGCATCCTTTGTTCTGTTAAGTAGTGGAATAATCTCTTTGTGGCGGTCTTATCTAGGTCTGCCTGTTTAATCACATTAATAAATGGCAAGTATCATGCTCATAATTGAAGACTCTGATCCTCAAGAGTAATATTTTATTCCCTCTGATAGCGTTGCTTCCCCCTCAGCACATCCCCTCCCTTCTGCACTGTGTGTCTCTGATCTGTGCACGAGGCTGTAGGAAGGTAGATGTTACCTTCCAAAGCACCTGTGCTGTTGGCAGCTGGGAGAAACAGCTTCAACTGCTTTTTTTCCCCCCTTGTTTTCTTGACTTGTTATTTATTCCCTCTCCCACCTGCAAAGTCTAGCAAAACCAATGAGGAAAGATATTAAAATAGGAAGAAACCAGGTATGTAACTGAGAAAAGGGAGGAGACCATGGCAAGGCAGCAGATTTTGTGCTCAAATATAACTACTGCATTCCCCAAAGGAAAAGACAATTATTTTTTCCCCAGCTTTTATTCCATCTTCCTCCTGTATTTTACTAACATGTTTTTCAGATGCTTTAAGTGGAAGCCTTTGGTAGTCATGCACACAGAGCTAATCCCTTAAGTGGGTTGATGCTTCAGAGTGTCAGTGAAGTGGGGGGAAAATTAGCAACTTCGTAGTTGCTACATACGAAATTTTGGAATTGAGGTATTTCTTTTCTTCTTCATACACCTGAAATATTTGTTAAAAGCAACTCACAGAACAGTTTGCCTTGACCCCAGGAAGTTGTTTTTCTTTCCTTACAGCTGTACTCTGCTACAGTTCACTCTTGTGTTTTGGCTTGCTAACTAAATTGTTTTAACCTCTTGCTATGTATTAATAGTAATTTTTTTTTTTTATCCAAACCCAGAGCAGACACGGAGAAGGGAGGGTTTGCATGATGACTGTTGTGGCCCTACAAACTTCCAAGTACACACTGGTTTGAGAGAATGTTTTTTTTTCTCGGAGAACAGTTTATTTAGCACAGCTTTTTAGGTTTTACACTTGAGGCATATCTGGAAGGGACATCCCTTAGAAGGATGAAAAATGGACTATGTCTAATAAATGCCAGAGATGTATTTTTTCTTCTCATGAGTGCACATCAGAAGAAAACTATTGTCCTCTAGAGATGTAATCCTATCAGTATAGACAAAATAGTAGTTTGTATAATTTCCTGTACTGTAGCAAATGCAAACATAGACTTTCATATCAATTGTCAAATGAATTAGGACATTGAAAGCCCTACCTTAAATTTGAAAAGAAAGGTAATAAATTGCCAGAAGAACAAAATGCTTCCAATTTCACAGACATAGCAGGCTAGTACCTATTTGATTTCATATTGTACATGCCTGAAATAAGGAATGAGACCCGGGCATGGCTTTAGTTTCATTTCAGTTTGGTGGACTCTTGCACTCAGATGTGTTTCATTTTTTGTGCTTACTCTTATAAAGTTGTCCTTCAGAGACTTCTGAGAGCCCTAATAAACGAAGGCTTCATTAACTGCAACCATTTTACCTTCTTTTCCAAGGAAACAGGTCAAAACCTGTCAGCAGTTTCAAGGTACACACCACCCTCCCCCCCAAAACCAGTGCCGCCCCTTCTGCCAGGTTGCATTTCCCAGTGTTCACATCCTTGCATATTAACCCAATCAAGAGTTCTCAAAATAATCTCCTTTGGCCAGTCAAATATTTTCCTTACCAAGAATCTAACTGGTTTTGGAGGCAGGAGAGAAAAAACACCTTACACACAATACAGAGTCGCCTCTTTTTGGTGGAAAGTGAGTGAAATTTTAAGGTACTTTCCCTTTTTGAAGTGACCTTGAAGCCAAAGCTTCATTTGCTTGCAAAAATGAGCATAGCTTTAGTCTAAGCCTAAAGGTTTCTCTTGTCCCACTCAAGTTTTCCTTTATTCCTTACACAGGCAAAGCTGTAGTGTGGCTGTAGCTGCAACTGTGTGAAAAATTTGCTATAAAGTGAAAAACCAGTACTGTAGTATCGATATCTCAATTAGCTGTGACTGTATTAGAGTAAGAGTAGAAAAACCTGTGCCAGGAGGGGTGCTTCTTCAGAAATAAAATTGCATCTACACTGACAGGGACTGGAAAGATGAAGGAAGCAGCTAAGCTGGTAGTTTTCACTGAAAATTAATTTCAGAATTTAAAAATATCTGTCTTGTGAAGGCATCTGATTTCATGGCATGGAAGTTGAGCCTCAGTTTACAAATTCTTAGGCAACAGATCAGCAAATACTGGCCTCAAGCAACCAATTAGCTCAAAAATATTTAGGTATACAGATCATGACTTTACAAACATCTGTGTTATAGTTATCTCCTTTAAGATATTTCAATATGCTGGTATTTAATCCACTTGCATTTTGTATAGAGTTATGTGAGGGTGAAATGGACAATTTCTATACCAAGGTACATGAAAATGGATTGGTTTAAAACCAATAGATTCATTTGAAATTGTAGTAAAAATGCAACAATGTTGTGCAAGAGAAAATGAGATAAAATGAGGACAGAAGCATTTGAATACTGTCAATTTTAAAATCAAATTTTTGTGGTCTCCTCCACTCTACAAAATCCAGCCAAAAGCAGAGATTTATTTTTTTTTAATCTATGGAAAATTAATAGAATATGAGATAAAATAGTCTGGGAGAAGGGATTTAGAGATAAATCACTAAGACTAATAGAGAACGTGACTTTTTTTTTCAGTAGAAGACACAGTGGCCCCTTCACTGCACGGGGAAATGAGAGCTTGGACTGCAGTGACAAACCCAAGGGTGAAAACAAAGCCTGGGGATTTGGGCCATTCACCTGGGACACAGGAAAATGTTTGCCTCCAGATCTCCTGAGTCTCAACAACACTATTTTCTAGATTCTGGAGCCACCTTCCTTCTCCAGTGAAGGTTTAGCTATTTCAAGGAGAACAATTTCAGGGGACAATTAATCTCCATATAACCTGTAATCCGAGGAACTATATTTTGAGTTTCTGCAGCTGAGTCAAGATTGAAATCCTAAAAATGTGTATTGGGGAAGGAGGAAGTTCCTTGTATGTTCCTTGTGTAGAGAGTTTCACAATTCACACCGTCGGTCTTGACCTTCCCCCAGAGGTTTCTCCTTAGACAACGTGAGTCTGTCCTGTGACACTTGTCTTTACTCATATAACATCCAAAATAGATTAAATTAAGGCAAGGGTGAGTCCAGCATCCTTAACAGATGTCTCACCATATGACAAATTTCAAATATTATTTTCTCATACCATGTAAATAGTAACTGCTTCTGGTAGTTTACAGCCCAGATTAATTTTGACAGTCGGTACTTACTACATAGATCCTTTTTTGCTGATTTTCACTTAAATAATTTGGTTGTTTTATTTGTTTAAAATTTCCTATGGCTTTTTACCTGAAGCCTTGTGTGGTTGCTGCTGTTTAGATTTGGTTTTTGCTCGTCCTTTCCTCTTCTTTTTTCATGAAGAAATGCCAGTGGAATAAGCAACGTGGCAGTGAATTGCTTTAACACTTGCACCTCCAAATAACATCGAGAATGGAATGTGTCCATGGTAACCAGGATGCATTTACAACACTTTCCATTCCTCATCTTTTTAATCTATGCAAATAATATAGGTACTACAAAATCTCTGCGTTATTTTTATTCGAAATCACCACGTGCGAAGAAATTATGGAGAAAATTGCAGACTGTCCTGGGTATTTGTACATAAGGAAGTTTTTAATGGAATAGTGCTACTGACAGGTTGTTCCCCTGTAAATCAAAGAATAATGTTTAGAAAAATCACAGTGGTGTTCCACAAAATCACTTGAATATTTTACTTTTCCTGTGCCTCTGCATGTTGGCCTGATCTTTCCGTTTGGCAGATACTTCCACTGCAGTTTGCTTCCTGCTCTAACAATTAAGAGGAGGTAAAATTATAGAAATATGTATTGCTGTCATTTTTTAAAAATTACTGTTAAAAGGCTTTGGAATTTGTATTTGCACACAATACTCCAAGAAAGTAAATTTTTATAGCCATGTTAAAACATCCGTTGTAATGCACAGGAGTGTTCAATTTGTAGAGTGTTGACTTAGTGCTTCATTTTACAGTTTGTTGGATTGTATAAAGATAAAAATCTTATTCAAGAGTCTGTGGACACATCTGCCCACTCCAGTGCTTGGATTAAATACGTTTGGTGCACTCACATATACCTGAAGTTACATTACAGATAAATACACTCACACACACAAAATACTAAACAAACAACACCTGGAGTATTGCTGTGAAAAGTTTGTCTTGCTCACACCAGTGCAGAAGTTGAGTATCTGCTGTCTCTATACACTTTGTTTTGTTGTACTGTACATCCCCTACTGAAAAGTATTGATTCATGTCTTTAATTTGCACTTTGTAATCTGTGGTGCAACACAGTTCTGCTTTTCTAGCAATTAGACTTCTAAAATTGTGTGTAGTTCATTTTCTGTACAACCTCATAGATATTATCTGTAGAACACTGTTCAAAAGTTAGAAAGCAGCAGCTGTTAACCATTTTTGGCAAGTGGTTTTGGGGGCAGGTAGAACTATTTTCTTTTTCAGTAACACTTGGCATTTTCACGTTGAGAAATGGGAGTTTTGGGGTTTTTTTCTTTTTTTTTTTTAAATAAATGTCACTTCCAACGTAACATGAAAAGGCCCAGAGAAAGCCTATAATATGTATGAAATGGTGTTATTTTTGCAACATGGTAATCTATGTTGTGCATGTACACTACAGAAATGTTAATTCTGCTGTGATCAAATGTTGCAGTGGGGTCATTTATTTCTCGTATATTCTAAAATGCAGATTGGGTGAATATTTTTTTTGCCTTCTGAGAGGCAACTGTTTCACTGCAAAGGAATAAAGATTGTGTGTGTATTGTAAAATAGGAGGAACTTATGTAACTGAGTAGGATTTTTTTTTCATTTATTCACATAATAAGGGTGCAGAGTATTGCAGATATGTCTGAGCAGTAATCGAAGCCATTCTGTGTGTGTGCAATCAGAAATATGATTTAGCATTCTGATTACTCCCCATAATCATATATTAGCCATGATAGCCATCAAAATGATAAACTTTACCTGACTGTATTTGGCATTCAAATGTAGATGTTAAGCCTTTATTCAAACTTGTTTGCTGTTGCTGTAGATGGGATATTAACAAGATAAAAGAAAGACTTAAAAATACAGAAATGACTGATGTCTTAGCAGATCATCTGGAATCTGAGCTTTAATTTGAAAATTAGTGGTGAAAGTGAATGCAACTCACTGGGAGTTAAAAATACTTAATTCTCAGCTTTAAAATCTACATTTTATCACTGAAATACCAGAGAGATCTGAAGTTAAATTTGATGTTGAGAGACGTAACTACTGTTGTCAGATCTGATTTGTAATGGTAAATTTAACTCTGTGTTCTTCATATTGGCAGTTAACTCGAGGCTTGTGTTCAGTTTTCCTTTTCAACACACCAGTAGAAAAAATAAAGCACAGAGTGTGTTTTTTACACACTCGTGTGTGTGTGTGTGTGTTCAGCTCAGCGATCTCCTCATTTGTCAGCTGAATCACTCACTGTATCAGGAATCCACCTTTAGGTATGACAGTGGAACCCCCTCACTTTCCTCAGGGAAATGGAAGGAAATAAACCATATTAATATCAGTAAAACTAGAACATAGGTGCTTTTCACCTTGCCTACAACAGCAAGCCAGTCTCACTCGTGGCTTGGAGTGTGATCTTTACCAGCGTGAAGGGAGAAACGTGGCTCTGACTTCCCTCTCCTGTAGACCCAGCTGTGACAGCAACAAAAAGCAAGTCAATATTAAAAGCTGACACGCTGTTTGAGCACACAGGTAATGTTTTAAAAGAACTCTGGGAAAATTACTGACAGTCAGGGCCACTTATTCGCCAGCCTCTCACAGCTACCTGATTTACTCTTCCTAGTAATTTTTGGTCTCAGGTGCATGCTTTGTGATGCAGATTTTCTTTCTCTGTCACTGAAAATGGGAGTTGAACGTGTACTTCTGGAGCGCCTTTTCCACAGTTTTCAGACAGCCTTAAGTGCCGAGCTTTGAACTGTCCCTGTTAATGTTGATTTTAGCAAAACGTTAAAATCACAGCTTAACTTCTAGCACTGCCAGTTTGGAATGCCTGAGCAGTTGAATTGGTATTTCTGCTTATCAGGCATTCAATTATGTGGTTAAATTCTGTCTAATGCTAAATGAAAACCAAAATCAGGGTGTTTCTAGTTTTGCCAGTTGAGATGTCTTTAATTGTTGGTTATTTCTACAAACAATTTGCATGCAGGGGTTGGGAAGGTTTTCCTTGTATGTAAAACCATTTCACACTTGTTCTAGGTACAAGATGTTCTAGGTACATTATGGGATGTCTGTTGTCCTTTGAAGCACCTTTTAGGGCTGCTGGTAAAGTAACCGTGGTCTGATCTCTTATAATAACTTTGGTTTAATATTTGTTGTAATATTTTCACAATCTGACACCTGAATCTGAGTATTTATCTCAAAGAACTTGATACTCATTTCTTCTGGTTTTTTTTCTTTTTCTTCTTCCACAATTGTGGTCACTTAGGACTGAATTTCATCAATTAAGACCTGAAGAAATTAAAGAATCCCAGGAGGATTTTTTGATGATTCATCTCTTCATAGTGAGATGATAATAAAAATTACAAATTTGTGGTAGCATATAATGGAGTAACATAGCAATATTGATCTGTAATAACTACCATGAAAGATGGTAGATTGACTTTTTTCCTATGAATTTATTGATATAAATTAAGGTATGAATACTGGAAAAAACCAAAAAGCTGTGACAGTAAACCTAAATATATTATAAATCCCAGCAACACTGATAGTTTCATTATAAGACAATGACAGAAAATTTTAGCAACAAAAATTGGCCAGGAAGCAATATTTTCCACCACTAAATAAATATTCACCACTAAATAACCCTCAGAGCCAGACTGGCCACTGAGAACATCTGAAATAATGATGCATTTCCCCAAAGTTCCAGGGAACTGTGTGTCCCAAGTAGTTATTGCTTTCATCTCCCTATAATCTTGGTTCTCAGTAATGGATTAACTTTAAGAGATGCTCGTGTCAGAGGATGTGGTTGATCGTGATCATGGCTCCCAGAGGGAAGTCTCCTGAAAACATTAAGCCAAAGACACATCAATTCAGTAACTGGAGGGAAGAAATGAGGTGAGTTATGACCTATTCTGGAAGTGGAGAAGTTCATAACTGCACCTGCAGGGGCTGGGTTGAGATCTGAGGCTTTTGTAGCCCAAGAGACCTGACAGGACACCTTGGACTGGGGAGATTTTGTTCTTTTTTAAATAAGCAGCTCTTGTATTCTGATTGTGTACAGATATTGAAAAAAAATAGTTACAGATGTGACTTCATATTTATCCTGTTCTTATTATGAACTTGAGAGGTGTCATTTTTAAATGAAGTCCTGTTTTCCTCATCCACAGTTTTGGTAATATCATCTTATTGAATCATCATCTTACCTGAGTAAGTTGCCCAGGGAGGTGCTGGAGTCACTGATTCTGGAAGTGATCAAGAGGTGTCTGGATGTGACACTGGCACGATGGTTTAGGGGTGGTTATGGTGGTGCTGAGCTGATGGCTGGACTGGATGATCTTGAGGTGTCTCTTCCAGCCTTGATGATTCTCGGATTCCATGGTTATTTACTCCTGGGTGGAAGAGGTCTGCTTTCCCAAGAAATCTTGGGCAGAGTGGTCTGGTGGTAGGGAAGAGGGTGAAATTATAGATCTCTTTTCAGGAATAAACTTGACTGTATTTTAATTTATGGTCTCAGATCAGACCAACATGTTCCCTGTGCTTTGCTTATTAAAATCTAACACTTCCTACGGCACAATCCAGAGATTTTTAGCCCTGGTGATTTAGCGGAATCTGCACTTCTATGTTTAGGTTTGTGTTTGTTGGGTTTGTGTTTCTGAGCCCCTGTACAACTCCTGCAGCTGATGGATACTGAGTGATCTGAAAGCAGTAACAGCACTCCCTGAGGCAGTGGGGTTGGGAGGCTGCAGGTGTTCCATGGATGGACACACCACACCTTCTAAGCTCAGCTGACTGGATGTGTGCCTAACCATGGAAAAAAGGCTCCATTAGCACTCACAGTCCACGACAAAACCAATCTTTAATTCCAGTTATTACTGCTTGTTTTGACTGGAAGGGGAATGAATGTATCCTGAACCAACAGCAAAGGCACTGCCTGTTGGCTTTGGCTCTGGCTCAGGGCATCTTTAAACATGCTGGGTTTTTGCAGTGGATGTTCATAATTGCTCTGTTAGTTGAAGCAGAGTTGTACCACATTTTAATCTGTGGCAAAATTTAACATCAGTTTTTATAAACTTGAGCTTTCAAAGAAGTAGCCTTCTATATTTTTTTGTTTACCACTGGTGTTTTTTTTATTTACCTCACAAAAGTAGATTTGACATGGGAATATATGTTAGTGAGAAGGATTTTAGTGGGTTTTTTTTTTCACTGCTTATAGTGCAAGGTTTTCCTGCAGCATCTGATACTGATATGATGTCACAATAAAACATCTGGTTTACATTACCTGGGCACAGTGATTCAAATGATTACATGGTTGTTAACATGCAGTTTTCCACTATTCCTCTGTGTGTTTTCAGTAGGTTACAAAGAAGATCTGCCTGCTTTTTCTTGAAAAGTATTACTGGTGGTTCAGGGCCTTCCCATCCCATAGGAAGTATTGAAAGTCACAGTTGCCATTCTTTTCTAACATTTAATCATTTCTTCCTTCTAAAACCGTCTCAGAATTTTGGGGGTTTCCCCTCTATTTTTTATTAAATTATAATATAAAAGTGGTTTGTTTTCAGAAAAGGGCTAATATAAATAGAAGTATCACAAGAATAAATTACTATGTTTGTGAGGAATTGTATTGTTATCCTGACACTATTTCTGTCCGTAGCTCTTGCTGTTCCACACAATCAGATGTTTTTACACCTCCTCACCTCCTGTTAAGAGGAGTTTTGCTGCTTCTAAGTATTCACAAATTATCATTTTTTTTCTCTTAATTCTCCACAAATATATATACAGAAATTTTATATATAGATTTATATTTTTATATATATATATGTACTGGAATAATATTCTAGTTATCCTTACTGATTTTTTTGCCA